CTTTTTGGGTATAGTGGTTTCCTTATATAGAAATGCGAGCTTTTTCTTGGGACATTCATAAAAGGAAAGTAGTTCATCTTTTGGGGACAGAGGTAGTACTAGATTTTCGAAATAAATGATTTCAAAATGCATAGCCTGTTGAAATGGAGTCTTGGTATTATTAACATGTTGAACATTATGTGGTAAGAGCAATTTTTCTTCACGAAATTGGTTACTTCCGAAAATGCAGTTTTGGTATTTTGAAATCACTTTCGAAATAGGTTGATTCACAAAATGCTGTTTTGGTATCACATGATTGATCGAGTGTTTTGATGTAATATAGCCTGAAGAAAACATAATCAGTTTGTGACTACACAGAGAAAATATAACCTCTTTTCATTGATAGTTTATTGATGTAATTGCAGACACCTGATGTGGGAAAGTTTTTTTTTTTAAATCCCTTCATTCTGCTTTTACTCTTTCTCAATATTTGAATAAAATGAGATTGTTATCAATAAAACAATTGTTTGTATGTTTGTCTACAAGTAATCCTCAGTTTATTAGTTATGACTATGAACATCTCTTTAAGTTATAGTTGGTGCTACATGTTTTGACAGTTTGATGCCTTTTCCCAATTAGGTTTGTTATCCTGAGTATTCTTCATGTGGTTAAGCATTCTTTACTTTTTATTCACAACTTTTGTGGTTCTCCACCAGGATATCAAGAAAGAAGTGAGAAAAGAAGTAGATGAAGCCACAATAAAGGCAAAGGTGAAGCACATTTTAAAATTGCAATTTTATATGTTGTTTAAGCATGATAGTTTAGTGCAAGTGTAACAACTAAGGCCGTTTGACACTGTCATCATTAGTCCTCTGCCTATTTTTTCTTCTTAAACTTAAATAAATTGAGAAAATTGTGAAAGTACAACATTCATTTGCTTCTTAGAGCTTTTGACTAAAGAGATTGTATACATGTGCATCCAGTTTTTCACGGCAAATAAAAAATTCCAGTTTAAAAGTGTTTCATATCACTTCCTTCAAAAGGGATTCAAAATTTCTCAAATATTCTGAATTCTTCTTTGTTTTACATTATAGCAGATCTTATGCCCATTTTGTGTTGTCAATTCTACGCTAAATTTTAAACAAATAAGAAGCTATAAGATGCGCTTATTCTCCACAAATTCTATCAACCACAAGACTTCTAAGTTAGTAACTTATTATAAAAATAAAAATTCCGGAAGGGTGGAGTAATATTTTATAAGGTTTCTTAACCGACATATTTATATTAAAAAATGCCAAAATAGGTAGCTGCTTAATTCAACTAGCTCTCACCTATATACATGCTTTGACATTTACCCTATTTCATCACATCCAAGTGTTTGGTTCTATTGCGTGCACAATTGTATTTAAACCCTTAGGTATATGGGTTATTGGGTTCCCACAAATAAAACGTCTTTTTATCATCTTCCCGCTTCCTTGTGTTTTTGTAGCAAACATGGCACTTGTGAAGACAAATACACTATATGTCACCACCGACCTCTAAACATGGCACTTAAGTCCTTCCTCCCTTCTTTAACATGTCAGTTAATATAAAAAACTCATTTGATTTGCACTTCCTAAGGAAGTGCATTGCGGTGAACTTGAAGTTCAAATTTATATATTCTAATTGGATATAATATTTTAATCCTCTCATGTGGGAAGGCTTGGTGAATAAATTGATAGCCTTTAATTTGAAATTACTATACAAATCTTATCTGCAAACAAACTGGGACCATTACTGGTCGAGCCACCTTTTTTTAATAAGGTAAATTCTTTCTTCATAGTTTAGTTTCACATCCTTAATTTCACTTCCTGATTTCTTACCATTAATTGATTTGCTCACTTTAGTCTTGATTATGTTTTTATTGAAATTTTCAGTTTATACAAAATAAGATAATTGATGTTCTTCTTTCTTTGTATGGATGGTATGTGAGTCTGTCTGCCTTTGCTTCAAATTTTTCAGCATAAATTCATCTTTTCTTACTAAGGCTTTCTACAAGGCAAACATATATCGTTTCTAATTCAGTTCATTCTTTTTCTTTGCAGTTAACAAAAAGGATCCTAGAATTAAAAAGTAAGAAGTTAATAAAAACTAAGTTATTTTCACGACACACAAAAAAATAAACAAAGTACTAAACTTGCCTAAGCTATTAACGGAGATAAATAATTTAGTGATTGTCTTTCTCACAATGAGAATGAGGATATAACTAAATCCACTTCAAATTGCTCTGAAGTGCAACATGTATGAGGATGATGTTATAATCATTTGTCAACATATATAAATTCAATAAATTTATTCATGGATTCGTGGGAATTTGAACCAATTCTGTTTTTTCATCATTTTCATTCAAGGAGCATTGACATATTATGTATGTTTTCTCTATCATTATTTAGTTCAGAAGCACGATGGAATGTTAATTTTGTTGAAATTTCAGATGTTTACACCTTCAGTTTTGGAGTAGATTTTTATAGCAACAAAGTATGGCATGCAGCTATTGACGATCGGTACAAGTTTCTTAATATCATGGATCAATATTGCATGTTTAAAAAGGGACCATTCTTGGTGTACACAAGTTGTACACAAAATGTGTACATTGTCTATGTACACAAACAATTTGACATGAAGTCCTGCCCCTTTTTATACGAATTACCTGTATACACAGGCAACTAGGGGGTTTTGTGTACAATTTGTGTACAAGGCATGTACACTAACAATTTTTCTTTAAAAAGTTGTTGCAACATTACACACAAGAGGAAGATAGAAACAGAGCCACATGCAGTTTGACATTAAATGTAAAGTAAATATTGTTTGGTTAGGATTGATAGCGTTGAGCCAATTTTCAAAATTGTAGTCATAAACCCAACACAAAGACATGAGAAACATCAAACATCATTGTAATATACCAAGTACTCCGTATGAAACTTTGAGAGGATGTCATTTAATTTTACTTCTCATTCAAATTTTCTTCTTTTCACCATTTCTTCTCTCCTTTTATTTTCTATGTCTCTGTAACCAAACAATTCATTGGTGAAAGCAAGAAAAAATAGCCTAAAAACTGCTTCACACGTTAAAAAAAATATAATGTAAATTATAAAATTATGAAAAAACCATAAGAAGATAATGTAAAATACTACGTATATCACTATGAAAAGCTATAAATCGGGTAATCAATTGAAAATGTTAGCGTTTAGATTTTGCATTTTTGGAGTATATCGTAAGCAGTAGAGTTTAACCAAACTTGGAAAGTATTATTTATAGTGAGATCTCAACGAAATTTAATTTTTTTTTGAACACCTCTTATTAGTGTTTGTTGGTGGACATTGAAATTAAAAAGAACAATTTTGAATATGGTTTTCTTATAAGAGCCCGATTGGTGACGCTGTTTTTCAACTTATCAGGTTAATAAAAAATGAACCAAAACAATAATTTTAATCTTATTAAAAAATAAATTACTAATATTTCTAAATAAAAGGAATTTAAAGGATCATACAAAGTTAAATTAGATGGATGACAACGGTCTTACATATACACATTTTTCTGTCTCACAAACGCTGCAAAGACTGTGATTAATTGTCGAACAAAATTGGCAGGTACGTGTTATATTAATCTTCATCGCATTGAACTTTGCGAATTTGAATAAGGCGAGAAATAAAAAAGGTAAAAATTATGTGTGAAATTTATACAGAAGAGAGAAATAAGTAGAACTATAAATTAATAAATTAGTTACTTTAATAGGACAATAACAAAGTTATTGGGACAATCAAAAAAAGAAATTTTGCAATATTCAATAGGACAAAGAGAGTATAATTTTGCGGAATATTTGTTCTTTCCCTTTTTCACTAATCTATATTTTTGTTTTGACTTTGGGCTCTACTTTCTTTTACTGGTGGTTCGACCAGTAATGTCATAACATTTCTGTTCTTTCTTTTAATTAATAAAACTATGCAACTTGGGGTCGGCACACCGTGCGATTGTGTGAACAGTTTAGTGATCTCACAGTATGATTTGTGTGCAATGGTCATTAATAAAAAAAGTGACGACAATCTCTGGAAAAGTGACATCCTTTACCCCTTTTTATACATGAGCAATCATATGTGGCGACGATCTCAAGAGTAACAACTAACAACTCTACTTGAAATGAATGTTGCATACAAGGAAAGTTATAATAATTTGTAGTTTAACGTAATAGTTTAATGGATTTACATGTACATCCTTTACCCCTTTTTAATGGAAAGTTTTTTTTTTGTTTTTATAAAACTACTTTTAAACTACCCCTCCGTATCTAATTAGATGACCCATTTACTTTTCATAGAGTTTAAGACAATTACTATAGACTTTATAAAAAGCAAGAGGTTTTGGTACTGTAAGTCTGTAACTGCTTTTTGAGTGAGATTTTTCCAAAAAAAAAAAGTAAAGGAGAGAATTAGTTTGATACAACAAAAAAAGAAAATGTGACCGCTAAATAGGTACGGAGGGAGTATTATACAAGTACTTCACTCCTGGGCAACGCACTGATAGAGTAACTAGTAAAACCAAAAGTGAAATTAAGTGAAAGGCATAGCTAAATGTAAAATTGACATAAAACTCAAAGGATCAAAAGTAGAATTAATTCAAAGCAAAATGGAGAAACTTAGGGCCTGTTTACTAATAAAGACAATTTTTTATTTTCATTTTCTATTTTCAGGCCTCCTGTTTTTTGTTTTCATTTTCCAGTTTTTTGCTTTCTAAACCAGAAAACATGTTTATAGTTTTTCAATTTTCCATTTCAATTTTTTGTAAAAAACATTGACTTAATATTCGGAAAAGAATTGCACAATTACAAACACAAAAAATTAACATAAATGTTCAATAAAGGGAAAAGGGGCAAATGTGCCCTCGAACTAACCAAAAAAATGCAAATCACGCCTTGTATAGAAGGTTCTATCCGGCACCGCCATTTGGGGAGGTTTCCGGTGAAAATTTTTTATGGAATTTTTTAAGCATCTTCTTCATTAAGTCTAAATTACCCATACCAAATTTCAATTAAAAATAAAACCGGGAAGGCAGTCAAATGATTTTCTAAAATATACTTCGCTGTTTCGAGGACTTATTTTTCCCTTCTCCCTTCAATAAATGACATTATTTTGATTAGAACAACGACTTCACCATCTCATACATCATAATCATCCCATATTGCATTCGCAATACTTTCTCGAATTTCATACAATTGTTGTTGAAACATACCCCCTCCGTCCCCTTTAAATGTCCCATTTTACCATATTGGGATGTCCCTATTTAATTGTCCTATACCTTATTTGGTAAAGTTTGTGTCTCAAAATCATTTTTACTTTATTCTTACTTTATCAATTATTATCAATCATACAAACTCACTTTTCTTAAAACTCGTGTCGCCCTCTTCCGGGACATTTAAAAGGGGACGGAGGGGGGTAAGGGGGGGTCGGATGTACGCAGTCACCAAATCAAGAACTCCCGAAATAATTTGTTCTTCAGAAGAGGAATCATAAACCAAAAGTTTTGCATGTACACTCTTGAAATATGGACTCAAAATGCTTCTCAAGGAAAAAGGCTTTAGGGGGGTAGTACCAACATCCTCTCTTGTTGCAACTACATGTCTGTTCAGCAATGAAACTGACACCTTAAAATGCAATCAGTCAGTGAAAACAAGCTAGAATGAAAATAAAATCATCACAAGCCAGTTGTTCAGATAAGGTGTGTTTATCAAGACTTACAGTGGAGCTTATGCCTTATTTTCATCCTGGTTTAAGCAAACAGAATAAAAGCATAATACTCTGCATTAATTACAACTTTCAGCCCCCAAGAGTGACTTCAGATCTGCATACAAAATAGATCCATAAAATATTAAGGAGATCTAATATGTCAGTGCACAGTCAGTGTCTAGCCTTGCGTTTCTATATTGGTGTTCCACAATGAAGAAATATAAGCTTAAATTCAATTTCAAAATGATTAACTAAAATCCACATAAATTAACTATCCTTGATTGACTAATGACCACTCAATTGATCAAGAATTTTTGGTGTAAAAGCTTGTGTTATATTGGTATCAATTTTTTTTAAATATGTGATATTTTTGGCTAAAATTTGAATACTGAATTTGCTAATATGGTGCTAAAAATCGAATGTGTAAAAAACTGCACTTCAGCCATTTAAAGAATATATTCAAAAATAAAAGTTTGTTAAGAATCAATAACCTAAGGATTACAATCACTCTACAAAGGAGCGGATGATACTAACTGCTGCTTTGGTTTGTGCATGAAAGAACCATAATGCAAAACACCAATGAATTTATTGGTTGCTCTTACTCACCCACATATAAAGTCAACTCATTTTCACTTGCTGACTTGCCTAACATGATGCACTTATTTTACTGCCCAAAAAAACATCATAAGAACCTGATACATATAATACACATTTATTTTGTATCTTCACATTCACACAGAGACATGAATATTTTAAGGTTACAATATGATTAATACCACAAGCTAGATGCAGTAAGTCCTTCAAAAAGGCAAGGTGTCCTCCATGCTTTGCCTGTAGTTTGCCACAGATAAAACTACATTCTTACTTGCCCTGTCAATGATGAAAAAATACAGTGATCATATAAATGTGTTTTAATCTGGAGTCTGGATTATTGGCATATATCTTGATAAAATAAAATGTTGGTAATAATGAAATTCAGGGTGTTTGAAATATTTTTTATCACTAATTATGTTATTATCAGTTTTTATAAAATCTCACATGTATATCAAGACACTTGGCCCTCCAAATCCCTCAAAAACCCAACTCCCAAACTGACCGAAGTGTTCCACGAGTAGTCTCTCAACAGTAAATGTTCCACAAGTGCTTCTCTGCCTCTGACTAAACCATTTTAATCACCTCACCAGTAGTCCCCACATGAACACAATCCATCCTTGAAATGGTGGAATCGTTTGGAGTCTCTAATAACAATTTGCCGATCAATAATCTTGGTTATGAGCTTAATTGTAGTATGACAGTCACTACATATCCTAAGATTCTTAATCACATGGATAGTTGCACCAGGGATAGAATTCAATATCCCAAAAGCAACAGCCAACTTCTCACTGTGAACTTGTAATACCAATCCTTTCTCCTCTTCATCAACATCATGAAGAACCGAAGTCATGTTTGGTGTGTAGCCAATGGCTTTCAACTTTATGGACAACTCATTCAAATATGCATAAATCTTCTCATGTTGACAATGTTGTCTATCTCCTACCAGAAATACATGTACCAGACCTTTCAGTTCAACAAGACTAAACCCTGGAGTTTTTGTTAACCCTTTATTTTTCATAATAATTCTCATCCTTTCCATATCCTTCCACCTTCCGGCATCAGCATATATATGTGAAAGCAAGACGTAATACCCACAGTTAGTTGAGTCTATTTCAAATAATTTATTGGCAGAAATTTCTGCAAGCTCTACATTTTTGTGCATTCGGCAAGCAGCAAGAAGAGAACCCCAAACAACAGAATCTGGTATCACCTTCATTTCATTGATTAGATTATATGCTTTTGTGAGATAGCCAGCACGCCCAAGCAGATCAACCATGCAACTATAATGCTCCAGCCCAGGCTGTATATGGAATCTGTGTTCCATGGCTCTAAACCAATGCCATCCTTCATTTAGCAAACCAGCATGGCCACAAGCAGTTAAGATTGAAACAAATGTAATGTAATTTGGAGTCACCCCAGCATGGTTCATCTCATAAAAGACATTAAGAGCTTCCTTAGCTCGGCCATGCATCCCATAGCCAGCAATCATGGCAGACCACGACTTCACATTCTTTTCTTTCATACGATCAAATGCCTTCCTAGCCATCACTAGTCTGCCACATTTGCAATACATGTCAATGATTGAGGTTGCGACATATACATTATCTTCCAAACACATTTTTATGACCTGCGAATAACAAAGCTACTGAGAAATTGAGAAAACATAGAGTTTCCAATTTACTAAGGAAAGAGTGTATCATAAATTTGGAAGCAAAGAACATGTTGAGGGCAATAAAATAACAGTTCAAACTGAATAAATTTATTTAATGCTTGATTCATTTGTATTATATAAACAATAAATAATATAAAAATATGTAAAAACTAAAAATATTAATCATAGTTGCTTCTCCTTCGAATTTCCCGATGTGAATCCGAACATAAGAAAAGAACTTTTAATGAAAATGGCCACATTGTTTCTTTTCTCTAGCGTTTTCAGAGATCCAAACATAGCATAAGAATCTAGTGAAAATAATAGTCTTGCAGTACATAATCCTGTAATAGTTTTCCAAGAAACGGATGGATACCTGATCATGTATGCACTTCCCAGAATGGAGGGCTCCAGCATGTGCACATGCCAATAGCAGGGTGGACAATGTGACAGCATTGAATTTAACTTCTTGATCTCTCGCCAGCAAATGAAACGTTTCTATTGCCTCAGAGGAAAGCCCACTTTGCGCATAAACTGCGATCATTGAGTTCCAAGAGATGACATCCTTCTCAGACATCTCATTAAACACCTTCCTTGACAACCCCACCTCACTGCACTTGGCGTAAGCATCAATCAATGTGTTCCCTACACCCAAATGCTCATCAAGCCCCCTTTTCATTGCAAACCCATGAACCCCCTGTGTTATAGTTTTCCCTGAAACCCGAGAACAAGCGGATAGAACTGAAACCAATGCTACTGCATCAACATACACTTCCTTCTCTCCCAGGCTCTCACTCTCTTCAACCAAAAGTTCTTTGAAAAGAAAGAGAGCATCACGGGGGAGGTCACTTTGCATGTACCCTGTAATCATAGACGTCCAACAAACAACATTTCGTTTAGGAATTTCATCGAACAGTAATCTTGCTTCTTTGAGCTCACCACACTTGGAGTACATATCAATTAGCGACGAGGAAGCGAAAAGGTCAGACCCATACCCGAAGATGAAAACTTGCTGGTGGAACTGCCTGCCGGAAGAAAGATCGCGAAGGGCAGCACACGATTTTATGGCACATGGAAATGACGAACGATTTGGTGTTACAGATAACTTTCGCATAGAAGAGAAAGCCCGAAGCGCCTCAATTGAATCTCCACTCCTAGATAGCTCGGCAATGACAGAGTTCCAGGAGAAGACATTGCTCTTATCTACGTATTTGTTGAAAAACGTGGCAGCATTTGAAGCAGCCGTCGAATAATAATTATGGCGTCCAAACGACCACACAGATGTTGCCTTGGACAACTTCTTCATAATGCCAAACTTCTTTTCGGTATATTCTTCTTACCTTTCGTAAAATCGTATCCTATAAGAGACAAACATTGGACCTGCGCCGGCGGCCGGCAATAGGATAGTAGTGGGCGCAGCCGCGCTAGGGAACAGAAATAAATGGACTGAGCAAAATTTTAAGGAGTATGAAATACCACGTAATTACATATTATCGCGTATGTTTGACACAACCAGCTGAAAAGATATTTTGACTTTTTGGTAACCATTCGCTTTTAAAGACTGAAATATTTTAAAAGTAAAAGGTGGTAGCTTTTTTTGTAAAAGCTGACTACTTGATTTAGTTCTGTCCGGTATACAAGCTGTTGGGATTAATTAATGCTAAAAGTCACAGTCTTTTCTCATATGCTACTCCTCGTAGCATCTCGAAACAATCTTTTATTTTTTGAACAACTCTTAAGCATTATCATAACAAACATACAACTAGAAGATTTTAGAGACTTTTTAAATAGTACAAAAGCTAGGAAAGCAAAGACTTATGACTGCCAAACATAGCCTATATATGATTAAAATAAACATTTTTTATAAAAATGTGACTAGTGAATAGAGTACAACTGAAAACATAGTAACTTATGTTCAAATTTTAAACTTAAATTACCATGAAACTACATTATAGTAACTATTAATCATATTTGTATAAATAATTTTTTTAGTAATATTTTGAAAGAACCCAAATTTTATTCCAATCAAATGCTCAAATATTTGATTATGTTGCTGAAATAGTAGTGCTCTAATTTATGAAATTGCGAGTATAGTGGCTGAATCTATGGATTAAGGGAAAATTATATTTGAAATACACTTCATATTTGAAACTCCGTATAATTAAGAAAAAAATTAAATGATGAACTCATATGTAAAATAATTATTAACACTAATTTCATTCAATTCTGATAGAAAATCAATTCTACTTTACTTATTTTGATTATTAATCAATTTGAAGCTTGATGTTAAAAGTATTTATCTCACATTGGATAACTATACTCTTTTTATTAGATTGACCTTTTAGAATGGAACACCGAGTCTTATAACATGGTATCAAAGTCAATTCCGATTTTGGTTTGACTGTTTGTTTAGTACCCATGATTACGGGTCTTTTTAAGGGTCTGTTTGGCCCATTTATATACACCCTCGATATTGTCCAGTCCGGTTCGGGTTGAGGGGCGTGTTAAAAGTATTTGTCCTACACTGGAAAGTTATAAAACAATAAAACACTATATATGGCTTTGGGCTACTCCTCCTTTCAGATTGACTTTTTAGGATGCAACCCCGGGTCTTAACACTTAACATGTGAAGTAAAATATTACTTCCTTCGTCCCTTTTATGTAGCTAAATTTGACTTTTCAAGTAAAAAATGTTAAATTTTTACTGATTATATATTTAAACACGATAATATTTATAACATGAAAGTGATACGAAAATGTTCTTTGTTAAGTATACTATCATAAATTATAAATTTGTTAAGTTTCACATAAATATACAGAGTATTAGTTAAAATAATGAATCAAAGTTTACTATCTTTGATTGGAAAAATCAAAGATGGCTAAATAAAATTGGTCAAACATGTTTGACAAAAATTTGACCAGGGCCGATCCGGGAAAATTGAGACTCTATGCAACAATAAAATTTGGGCCTTTTTTCATGTTGCAACACAAGTTACCAAGTAAATTGTGTTAAAATACAAGTTACTAATAAATGTAATCATAAAAATAAAAATAGTCATTCATAACTTACATTTTATTTAAAAATAGACATTCTTCGAGCATATTTAGATGCAAAGTCATCTATCAAACTTGCAACATCAATCTCTTAATTTATCAACCTGATGTTACCTAATACTCCGTAATATATTTATACCTTAATTTATCAACAAACAACATAATTTTTTCGAGCATAATTTATCAACCTGAAGTTACCTAATACTCCCTCCGTCCCAGGGAGAAGTTCTCACTTTCCTTTTTTGGTAGTCCCAACAAAAAGTTCTCATTTCCCTAAATGGAAAGTTATCCTACATCAAAACAGTGTCAAACAGTGCAAAACAGTGCCAAACAGTGTCGAAACAGTGCCAAACAGTGTCGAAACAGTGCCAAACAGTAAAATTTACCCCTCAGTAACTTTATTTCCTAAATATGTGTGAAAGTCAACCCGAGAACTTCTCCCTGAGACGGAGGGAGTAATATATTTATACCACTTTCTTAAATTTTAATTATTAAACACATTTACACATTTATTATCAATTCAAATAATGACTTACTTTAACTGCAAAAAAATCAAAAAATAACAACAATGCAACAATTCAACAAACATGAAATCAGAAAATCTGAAAATCAACAAAATGCAACAATTCAGCAATTCAACAATTCAAAAATTCCCAGTAATTAGCAACTAAATGAATCAGAAAATCAAAATCAGTGGACTGACCGGAGTACCGGACTGTGGAGGCGGGCCGCGGTGGGCAGTGGCGGCCTGGCGCTTGGAACGCTCAGTCCTTCGTCGTCCTCTTTCCGTCCTTCACGGCTTTACTCCAGAGCAGTGGTGGTCTGTGGTCTGTCGTCGTCCTGAGTTCCGTGAGAAGTCGTCGCTGGGCGCAGGTGGTTTGTAGTCTTGCGCGGATGGGCGAGAATGGACTGGGAAATTAGGCGCAAGTTGGGCTGGGATGTACGGAGTAATACTGGATCTTTTTTCGGACCATTCAAAATTCTGGGCCCTATGCGGTTGGGCTAGGCAGCCAAGCCCTGGTCTGAATTTGACTAATATACTAAAAATAGGGATTATCAAACAGACTTTATGAAATACGAAGTATATAAATCCACTCATTTTCTGGTGTCTCAAAAGAGTTCAATGAACTTGATGAATATTCCATATCAAATAATAGAACTTTGATAAATACTTAGTACGTGTCTAGAAAAGATAAGAACATCTAAAATTTAATAAAAACACTCTTAATTATTTTGAGTGTGAACAGTGAAAGACCTTTATTAATCAAGGCAATCATTCCACAGTTGGCTAAACATACATCCCCGAATGGCATCTAAAGATAGGGATGTTAAAAAAATCCGACCCGCAGTGACCCGCCCTGGCCCGAGACATTTGGGGTGGGTCCGCCCCGCCCCGTCTTCCAAATGGGGCGGCTCCGCCCCGCCCCGCCTATACAATGGGGCGGGTCCGGGTATTAGTATTGACCCATGCCGTCCCGACCTGACCCGCTCAATACATAAGCATACATACTTTTTCTTAAATTATACTATAAATATACTTCAACATACATATGTGTGTGTACAATAAATCATAAATTGTTTGATCTAATAATATATTAATACATATATTAGAATGAGATGAACGACGGATTATCAATGACTTCTTTATATATAACATTTTAATTCATATGTTCAATTATTAGTATAATTAAATAGATTAACTATTCAAGTCTGAGTAATTTTTTCCTAATTTTTTGAAATTTTTAGGGTATCATGAATTTGATTTAATATATTAATTTTTAATTATTATTTAGAGATAAACTTTATGTAGATTCAATTGGTAGCAGCTTTCCACAAATAAAACTACATACTAGCTAATTAGGTTATGGCAGAGCGGGGCGGACCCGCCCCGCATGGACGGGTCATGGGTCAACAAGTTTGGACCCGTGCAGGTCACAGGGCGGGGCGGACCCGCCCCGCCAAGTCACGAGACGGTTCTAGGTCTTGCAGTACCCGCCCCGACCCATTGCCATGCCTATCTAAAGGTGTTTTTTATTTGGATTGGTTTTTGTTCTAGACCAAACCAGATCTGATCAGATCAAAAAAATTTATTAAAAAATTCCAACGGTTCCTGTCCCAAATGGCGACGGCCGAACAGAGTCTCTCATATGAGGGCTTATTTGACCTTTTTATGTAAGTTCAAGGGTCTATCTGACCCCTATATTTATTTTCTTAATGGTTAACTGACGACGGAGGAGAAGGAGGGGGAGGAGGAGGTGAAAATTGATATAAGAAAAGTCCACGGAAATCTTTAGGGAGAAAAAGAGACAATTGCAGAGAATTAATGCACTAAAAATGAGTTGAAAATCTACGAGAATCCATGACTTTAGAAGTCAATAAAAATGAACGGAACTTTGAATACGCCTACACTTCTGTAGATTTTTAAAAGTCTACATTGAATACACCTTGACTTTTGTAGACTTTTAAAAGTCCACATTGAATACACCTAAACTTTTAAAATTCAAGAACTTTTAAAATTTTGCCACTAAATCCTAATACAATACACCCTTAAGTTTGGATTGAAAAGATCAGATGAAATTTCGCATCCTCAATACAATTGATCTTTTGTAACCATTTTTAATTATATTATTAGAATCCATATGAGTGTTTAGCCCGACTCAACCCGATATTAGGTGTTGGCAGTGTTGCTTACGCTAAACATGTCTCAAACAGATAGCATCATTTTGAAACAGCAATAATAAACAGCAATAAAAAAAGGTTACTCTGTAGTTCGTACAATATGTAACAATACTTCAAGAGTATTTGCAAACATTATATAGGTTGGAAATGCTGTGGTGACTGGTGATGTATTGAAATACATGCCTACATTTGTATTCAATTAAGGGATACAAATCCCCAAGAGCGGAAGAGTCATTTTAATTTTGTTTTCAAGTTTAAGAAAATGTGTGTAAGAGTTTGAGAAAACGAGAGCTTTTGATACTATAGCAAATTAGCAATACAACCATTTTTTGTTTACACAAAATGTGAACGTGTTTGGCATGCACACACTCTAGTATAAACAAACACATGTTGTCTTTGTTTAAAGGAGCCGTCTATATACACATTTTGTAAACATTTCACACTCGTCTTTGTACATAGATAATTAATGTTTTTTCCTAAACGGGATGATTTTGTACACAGGAGGGTGTGCTAAATGTGTACACTTTATTAAGGTGTACCGTAACAAATTTAGATTCTTTTGCTAAATGAAATGAAACTATTAAGAAAGAAAAACGGGACATTTGTCAAGGAAGGGTGGAGTATTAGGTAAACCAATTAATTTTCTACATCCATTTCTCAACATGGCATATAAATATATTATCAAGAAAGTATAAAAGTTAACATGTCTTTTCTTTATTTGATCAGGTCAACACGAAAATTTTATTAGGCCCGTCACGGGCTTCTTAGTGAGCACGTAGTAGATTCCTCACATCGTATCTGTTTTATTAATTACGGAGTATTATTTCGCCAAAAAAATTACGTAGTATTATTTTGTTTAAGACTTTAAGTTACCCATGTTACATTACGATTTACTGTTTGTGTTCTTGGGTATAATTTTTATTAGAGCAAGTAAATAGTAATGATGTTAGTAGTAGTGGACTTGATTTATCTTATGAATTATTTAAAATATAAGTTTAAAATATATTAAAGAAACTAATTAATATCTAAAAACAATGGTTATTAAGATTCTATTTTCATTACTTTGAGGTAGGGATGGACCCGGTCCCAGTTACGGTTTCGGTCCCGGATCGGCCGGTCCCGATTCCGGTTTTGCTCCCAGACCGGTTGGTCCCGGTCTCCCATAGTTAAGTCCCCAATCGACCCAGAACTATACATACGGGTCCAGTCCCGAGCCGGTTCAGGCCTTATTTGATTTCTTTTAATAAATAAGAAATGCTATACATTAAAAAATGAAATGTATATTTATTTCGAACACTACATTGATTTTGAATATTGCACATTTATAAATTACAATCGAAACTTTAAATACATGAACTAATCGTTGGAACCGCTTCCGAGGTCGATTGCCGTTTCCTCCATGAAGTAGCGGTCCGGCGCTAATTATATTGAGCATAAATATATTTAATATTCTTATACTCTAATGTATATACTTTATATTATATATTTAAATATAAGTCAGTATAATATTATTTAAATATAAGTAGATATAAATACATATAATCAGGATGTAGAGAGAATTAAAGAATAAGAGTAGAGAGTAATAAAGAGAATTAGAGAATAGGAATATGAGAGAATAGGTATATGAATTTTTACAAATAGGAGGTATTTATAGGTTTTTTTTAACCCCAACCAGACCGCCCAACCCCCCCAAATCAATGGACGGATCCAGAATTTTAAGTCAAGGGGGGCGAACTTTGTTCCGTTAGTGTAACGGTGAACTTTTTCCTCTTGTTTAGCGGTGCGAACACATATATATCTAATTAAAGTATAACAAATTTATGAAAATATTACATATACTCCGTATAACATAAATTTTGAAAGTTCAAGGGGGGCGATTGCCCCCCCCCCCAATCCATCCCTGCCCAAAACCTACCCAACGGCACTATATCCGTTGGTGCCCCCCTCCCCGAGCGAGCTCTTCAAACAAAAGGCAATCAATTTTAAAAAATAAATCAAAGTGACCGTTGGGATCGGAATCGGGACTGCCTGGTCCGGTGCCCAATTTTAACACCCAAGACCGGGCCAAACAGATATGATCGGGTACCTGGTTCTGAACATGCTGGTAGGCCTAGGACCGGTTGGTTCTGGTTAAAATTCGATGGAACCGCATTAAAAATTATAGGCATTAAATTCGATTCGGTTCTTATAAAAAATATACTCCCTCCATCCCCCTAACATTGTCCCGTTTTACCTTTTTCGTCCGTCCCATTAAGTTTGTCTCATACAATATTAGGTAATATTTGACTGGTTAGAATTTATTCCTACTTTATTTACACTTTATCAATTCAATACCAACCACACAATTCCACTTTTTCTTAAACACAACAACACATCCCTTTGTCCCAAACTTAGGGGGGCGGAGGTAGTAGTTGTTAAATTCGGTTCGGTTCTAGTTAAATTCGGTTCGGTTCTTACATTTTTTGGTTCCTTATCAAAAATTATTTTCCTCCTAAAATGAATACAATTTGTCTTCAGTTACATAAAAATATTCAAATTTCAAATCATTAGAATAATTGTCGATGTTATGACCATTACATTATGCATATAGGATATTCCAATGTTCAAATATCACAAAAATATCCAAGTGCGAACTTTATATTGTAAAATAACAAAAACATAAAAGTTTTTATGTAAAATAAGCATTAGCTGCTTAGTAAAAAGGATTAATAGTTCCAAGGTACACATTCAATAGCAGGTAGTTCAACCCCAAAATAAAATTCTTATATTAGTATGTTGCACCATAAGTAAAAAGTACATAGTAATAAACTGACCGGTAATATTAGCAATTTACTATAACAAATAACAACGTAATCAGCAACAACATTTATTCATTTTTAGGTGGACGCAAATAACAAATATAATTACAATCATACAATAAATATAAATTACAATCATAAAATAATAACTACTCGGATAGGCCTGGTCCGCAATATATAAGGTATATTATGCAAGTCAAATATTCCTGTATGTCAAGAATTTTCTGACAAGAACGTCGTCTGGTACCTCCATTTGAGGTGCTTCCGGGTAGAATATTTTATTGAAATTTTATAAGGATGTTCTACATGAAGTGTATATTATATCCACCAAATTTCAGCTTAAACTTCATTCAGGAAATGGGTCAAATAAATTGTTGAAAACATTGCGTTGGTATATATATTGGCATAATAGTTTTCAACAATT